CCACCCAAAAAAACAACACAAAACAAAAAATGTAAATACGGACATTTAACAAGCAATGTTGAACCATGAACACCGCATGCAGTAAGAGAGAATCCGATTACGCCACCAGCCACACGAAAACCAGCAATAATTCATATTCATACGCATTACCGTCTGATTACCTATAACCACACGCCTACTGACAAACACAGTTTAAACTGAACACTCCCTTCTGTAACACACATTTTGGCAACACTTCCGTTTGACAGTAGGTTACTCCCATTTATTACTGACAACTGACATTAGCTCCAAACAGCAGGTTACGTTAGCCCTGGAATCGCGGAAACAATAAAAATAAGACATTTCGTATTGAAACAGATTTCAGAAAACGGATGTGCACGTGTGGACTAAACTGGCTCAGAACATCGTCCAGTAGAAGCCCGTTCCATGCCAGTTCGCAACTAAATAAGAAAAATCGCGCAAATTATCTTTGTTACATGCACATTTCTGCGACATCAACACAAATGACCGATCTTAACCTAATTTCGTGGATTAAGTTCACAGTCTCTCTCTGTGCCACAATACCATTACACTTATAACCGAATAAATTACACTACTGTAGTGCCAAGACAAGATAGTTGGGGCATGTAGCACGCACGAATCTGGGTTCAGTAAGTTAAAAGGCGTGAACGGTAAGATAATATTAAAACGGACCTCACAAATATAGGTAGCAATTACAACACACGGTTTGCACTCCTACGCCGGATTTTTATAAGCAGGGTAATGAGTCATCTAAATGCTGGGGATAGACGTGTCTGCCTCTCCTGGTACAAATATCGTAGGAAAACAGACCTGCGAGGTTCAACAGACTTCGCGAGTCTCCTGTCCGCACCCAACACTGCAAGTGAGATACTCATCACCCTGATGATATAAGCAGTAAGCACCTCTGAAACGTCGATAAACTTCAACAGCCCAGACGACAACCATCTTTATATAAAGTTAAAGTCATCGGGTGTTGATATTGCTTTCCGCGGTCTCCCGAATGACGTTTACAGTTGTAAATGTCTGCTTCTTATGTCGCGATATCAAATGACATTACGCGAGATGAAGGTGGCACCACCATACAGTTGCGGTGTTTCGCCGACATCGCTCGTTCCCGTGAAAAATGTACGGGCCTAACGCATGAAACAGTAAAATCAGGCATCAAAAATGAGATCATACGTGTTTATTAGAAGGAACGAGCCGTAACTTTTAATTCTGTTAAGATGCTGTAAAGCCAAATTTAATGACGCACGTGAAAACTAAGCCCACCGAAAACCACGATTTAAAATAGCCTGCATATGTCGTGTGTTTTGTGTGCAATCTGTAGCATGATGTGGAACGACAAATTGTGTTAAGGTTTGCCGTAAAACCTGTACGATGCATCGCGTAGAGACACATTCTCCTCCATAAAACTTTGTGACACTGCACATTTCAGTTCCCTGCCAAAAAGTACTACCACGCGAACCACCTTATTGGTTTTCCCAGTCTTCGTCTACGAAAATGCACTTTGGCCCAGATCATACTACGCTTTACGACGCACAGAAAGGCCTTTGTGTACTGGGATCGCTGTTTTATGTACGTAACAGTACATGCAAACGATCTGCGGAGTTTTCTGTATGCTTATTTTTTCCTTCTGGAATGATGGTACACCTGACGAGAAAGAATTACGCGGGTGTACGCGTGTAATCCGTCATAAACGCAAAAAAAAATTCCATAAGTATCACCTTTGTGCTTTATTGAACATAAACCATACCGAAATCCCTCAAATAAAAACTGTATAACTCATATATATATTAATAACAAGTAGGAAACAGATTATATTCGCCCGAATGCAGGTACAAAGACCAGACCTCCAATACCAAATGTCATCAAACTCCGTTCAGAATGAGATCTGAGCTGTTCGCGGCGGTAAAAATGTAGACCGCGGTCTTCCCTGGGCTTGCGACATCGCGTCTACTTGCAGGTGGTCGCCATCGAACGTAACGCCTTCAAATTGGACGCAGTTTTTCTCCAGAACGTGGTACAAAAAGCTTTCACCGACGAATCTGACGGTAAAATCAGTGCATTTTGAAGGAATCGGTGCTACCCGGAATGATATTATATTACTTCCAACAATAATGTCTAGATTTAATTGTTTGTGTGACATTCAATAGCGAATAATAGGTGTAGAAAACTCAGCTACTAGCCAATAAATAAAACAGCCGATACACTAAATAAAGACGTTCTAATTCCTGCGGATTCCAGTCGACTGCCCCTGTCGCAGTCTGTTTCGGCTATACGCTAAGCACATATGTCGGAGAAGTTGCCGCATGAACACGGCGAAACACTATTTTGTGAGCATTCACGTTCTCAAAACGAAAGGTATGAAGATACTGTCTTCCGCAACGTCGCGCCGGTGTAGTCTGGTAGATATTAGCCGACGTTTCAGAGATTACTGCAGGCAGTATTTACCTCGAGGCCGTAAGAACCTTATGTTCATTAAAAAATATTCATTGTGCTGAATATTTAATTCAACATAAGGAAACATAATTCAACCTCTGGGCAGTGTGACAATTTGTATTGCCTTTACAACAGGTTTCTTTGTGTAATAAGATAATACGAAGACCAATTAGCTGTGACAAATAACAAAGGACGAATCCGTATATTAAGTGTACTCCGTTTAGCTTTTATGCAAATCTTAAGACAGACGAACGCTGTTCCAGGTGACTAGTTGCATGAGACGACGTGTGATTTGTCCTCCTGAGTCCCTGGAAGTGGCTACCACCTAGATAATGCACTGAAGTGGCGTATAAATCAGAGTCCAAACCGAATTATCGCAACCCCTTGAGGTCCACAGAAATCTCCGAGAAACGACGTTACGTCTTCCAAACAAGATACACGAGGGAGGCGAGAAAAGTACGAACAGGGTCACTTCGACACAATTTCTTTCTGTTTGGACAGGAAACACTGCAAGAACAGGCTAGTGTTTAACACGAAGGCAAAGAAGTACCAAACGGAGAAAATTACATATTTAGAAGCTTCGCGGTTTCGGCTCTTCACCTAATATTTACAGACGAGTTACATTTAGGCGGATAAGACAGGAGACAACTGCAGAAACCACGCAAAAAAAATTAAAAATACGTGTAATTTAGTCAGAAACCCACAAGGTAAGAGACAAGCTGGTAGACCTAGAAGCAGACGGAAAGATAACATGCAAACATATATCAGATGATAAATTAGGTATTAGAATGTATACCGGATTAAACTGGCGCTGGATGACATCCAGAAACGGGCTTTTGCAAACACGCTAATAAAAAGTAAATTTCATATACAATAGTTGGCCCCCCTGAATTCAGAGCTTATATATACATATACTCCACGCATTCAAAAATTTACAGTAACGCCCACGCTTCGTTGAAGTTCACAGGCACAGATGACGCAACCACGGCTCGCCGTAGACCAGCAACGGCCACCAGACCAGTGCACAATACAATACACCAACTCCTGTGACGTGTTACTTAATCAGGTTCACGGTCTGATCCCCAGATGAAAAGACCCCGGTATCTGTTGGATAGGCGGTACGGGGGGTCCTATTGCTCGATATGTTTTTTTCTAAACCACTATCAGCGATCAGGATTTGCTGAGACGGAGACAAGAGTTTGCTCTAAAAGGCTGATAATCACCTACAAAACTACACAGTATCAGAACTCAGAAGACATTTCAAATTTTCATTCTAGTGTAAACCTCAGATTGAATTAATCCACATTTTTAATCCGTAACTTCCAATCGTCAAAAATCTTCTAGAATTCAAATTTAATATAAATTTGAATAGCCTCTAAAAGTTCCTAAACTGTTCAAGGTCATGTGACACTTCATATCAAAGCTAAGTTTGCTTTAAGTAATGCTATAACTAACAAAAAACTACAGTCACATTTGAGGTTTTCACAGCAGTGAGTATGAAGATTTCTGTCTTCTTGGTTGATATTCATCGCCTTGATGACGGAGGCAGTATGACCTCTGAAACGTTGGTTAACATCGACCAGACTACACAGCGCAACAACCCAGAAGACAGAAATCTTCATACTCTGATGACGGAGGCAGTATGACCTCTGAAACGTTGGTTAACATCGACCAGACTACACAGCGCAACAACCCAGAAGACAGAAATCTTCAAAAAACTAGATTATTCAATTATACAAATTTAGAAAATGTTCCACATTTTTAAATGTCAATAACCCAAAACATTCGCACAAAGACAAAATCTGGAAATTCTGTTTATACAAATATACCAAATTTCAATAAAATCCATTAGATTAAAATTTTATGCACTGGTTGTTTTGGTATAAAATTATTTCTTATGACACCAGTACAGAAGATTCCTGACAACATTACTTACTTTCACAAGCCCCGATAAACAAATTTATTTTTAAATGTTCGATGCAAACGCTTACAATCACTCTTAGACTTTAATACGATACAACGGCATTAATTTTTAAACTGTAAATAAATACATTCAGATATGCCGGTAATAATCAAATTTGTATATTCATATTTTTACTGTACAGTCACAAGATATGGGTACCATTCATCAGAAAATCCACTACCTTTTACCAGTCCATGAATAACGGACAGCCACGAACTACAGTCCTACAACGCGCCATCAATACGGTGTATCGCAATTCAATACACTCACCGGCACTTAACCTCTACCACATGGGAACACGAAATTTAAACTCTGGACTATGAAGCTGCCAGCTGGACTTTAACCCCGGCCGCAGCACATGCTAGGTCGAAACATGGCCAGCTGAACTGTGGTGAGCCATGACGTAACATCAATAATGGTTAATTACCTGGAAAAATCATTGAATTGACCTAAGGGAGCAATATAACAATCTGAAGATTCCCGTCTTCCGACTCACCGCCGTGAAAATCTCCAATCCTAGAATATAACAATTTACTACATCCAAACGTAACGCTATGTTAAAAGTGGTAACACTTACCACTTGTGTGTCCACCTGGTACGCCGCAACTGTGTCTTCAGTATCCGAGTACGAACACTTCAACACAACAATAGAATCATCGTCTCTCTTCTCGTCACACTGAGTACCAACACTAACACAAAAGGCACTATCACTTTCCTCATTAAACTTTAATTCCACTGCTGCTTCAAACCGCAGTTCAATTTTTACATCTGCCATAGCCGTTCCCTCTATTTCGAATAAACAAATGAACTAGACATGTATATCTGTAAACACATTGTAATGGCCAAAAAAACAAATCAGTTTTATTACAAGAGCTAAAATCTTGACAGCCAATAATGGACCGGATGTATTTCGGACTTTTAGAAACATCTGGGTACATAAAATCTATAGTCTTCCCTTTTTTCAGATAGAATGACTTCTGCCACTGTTGGCGAATAAGCAGATTCTTGGTGACAGAATAATCCTGCAATAAACAGATAAATATGTTAGTCTATGACGTATTTAAGTCAGCACGAAAATATAAAATGTTCATGTAAATATAAATATTTACATGAACATCTGTAACAACTTAGTAAAACTATCCTGCTATGCGCCATAGGAGCACTCGGGGGGGCACGGCAGAGCTCCTACTCATTCTCAACTTTGGCACTAGATGGGGCAGACTGCTCAGTGTCATGCCCTAGCTGCACTTCACCCCCGGAAAAGGAACCAGTACCCATTGGACAGGATGTTGGATGGGCCTCAAAGCCAGACTGATCCAGAGACTAGATAAAAATCCTCTGCCCCTGTTGGGGATCGAACCCCAATCGTCCAGCCCGTAACGACGTGTCTTTATATACGTACTCATACCGTCTCTGTACTAAGTGTTTGTATTCATATTATGATATGTTCCACATCTTTGATTTGTACCATGAAGGATCTATATGGACTGTACATAAATCATATTATATTCTATTTAATAATTTGTTTTAGTTGCTACTGCCATATTCAGAACCACTTCTGGAAAGGTACATAAATAAGAAATTGCTCTTAAAATAACTGAACCAAATATATAAGCAATAGGTATAAAATGAAGAATATTGCATAACAATTAACTTCTAGATAAATTTTCAGAGTAAAATCCTCCCCTTTTCTTTTATACAAATGTTAAACTGACAAAAAAGGCATACTCTATTTATCAGAAAATAAATTACAATAAAATCAGAAAACAAAGAATAGTGTTACTGTAAGTATTGGAAACATCCACCACATTCAGCGATGCATGCATTCCTTTTTTTTTCCTTCATGTCTGTTGAAACCCACTGTAATGTCCCTGTGTCACATAAGTGGTTCACTAGACAAGATGCTGTCAATTTGTGTGATACAGGAGAACTGGGAAATGTATCCGTAAACTCATTCTGGCAAGTTACATAAATATGAAATGCCAGGCAGTGTTTGACAATAAACATGTGTTGCACTTATGACAAAGATATGCACTTCAACTGCTGAAAGACAACTGACAGTCTGGAATCAGCAGTATACAACATATCATGACTTCAGTGGGATCTTGTATAGTCGCAGTGATACTGAGTGTTCATTTATCCAATCAAACTGTACTGAACTGCAACCATCAACATATATTATAATATGAATTGCATGGTGACCTTTCTATCACCTTGTACTATTCTTTTAAAATGGGCACTGCTTTAGGTAAGAATAAGGGGTCCAATTCTAACAATTTTCCCACACACACACAGCTCTGCAATAGGCCTACATATTGCCTGATTTTTGGCAGCTTAATCCTTGTTCCTCAGTTGAATGAACTGGATGATGATATTAATTCGCTTCCTTTAAATACTCCATATAAAACAATTGTGTTTGGCGAACAATATATAACAGCCATTCTACAGGTACTGTAATTGGCAAAACTTTGTCTTCTAGAAAGTTATAAAATACTACAAAGCCTCAACATAAAACTCGACTTTCGGCAATTGTTACTGACATTTGTGAAAAAATGTCAAGAGAAACTTTATGTAACTTCATAAAGTACCTGATTATTTCATGCAATTTGTCACCATTAAGGTTAGAGCATAACACGAATCCAATATTACTACGTTCTGTAACGAAATAACAGCATTTTGCAGGTTAACGTAAATACGTACACGAAGTTCATTGAAATAATTCTTACCGTGTTTCTCTAAGAACTATTACTACAACTTAGCAATAATTATCCAGCTAAGGATACTTCCTACATGCTTTAAAACGGCAATTTAAAATATACATTCCAAAGAACATTGCCCAGTGGAGTCAATAGCTTATCCATCGTACCCAACGAATATCAAGAACATGTAACTTTACAACCACTGAACAGCACGAACAAACTGGAATAACGCAGTTTACCGGACATGGGAACAGTCGATTGTCACGGTGCCTAGAAAGAAATTAATGACACAAAATCCATGGCGTTAAATGCAATTATTTGTTGACAAATTAAATTTCGCCAATATGGAGGCTTTACAAACATAACACAATACTACTGTTTAAATAGATGTCAAAATATAACATTTAAAAACTATACAATTGGTTACTGTACATCAAGCATTAAAAACACAGTATGTCAACACATGATCTTTTACTTTCTGTTATCAGCTGGGCAAATACAAAATGTTGATGTTCCACACTGGACTGTAATGTAATTACATACCTTCTACACAACAGCAATGAAAGCAATTCATAGTTCATGTGAGGAAAAAGTTTTCTTACTTTACCTTTTTTTTTCATACTTTGTCTACACATTAAAATACAAGCTTCTCTCTTTCAGCAAAGCAATAAATGGTAAAATATGATTTTGAGGAGTTGGAGGAGACGGAAATCTATCAAAGAAAAGATGAGTGGAACAAGATGATATACAGCAACTGACTCAGTAAAGGGATGGATAGACAAACACGTAACTTACTAGATTCTGAAATAGAAGCCACTCTCCAGGAACCCTGAAGAACTGTTTCCTCAAACCTGAAAATTAAACATGTCTTGCAATAGGAGTGAAAAACAGTATTATTATATAATGTATCATAAAATTCTTGAAGAATCTTAATAAAATCTTTTGTATGGTCAAGAAAACCCTAAAACATGAATGTGCCTCTTATATCCATTTTATTACTGCAACATAGACTTACACCAATAAAGAAAACATGTCATTCTAAAGACATTACAGTGTATTACATATACAATATTAACACAGTGCAGACTTTGAAACACCAAAGTAAATTCATCATAGAGCACTATACCTTGAGGTATCAGTTCATTATTATATTTGGTCTAAATTATGTTCACCAAAAAAGAGTTCATGTCCTTAGCAACTTAATATAAACACTGTATGTATTTACAACATAAAAATTAACGTCAATGTCTAGTTGAGATGTGGGTTGTCTATGCTTTATGGGTCCCCTGTTTTCTCTCCCCCTGGGCAAACTGCCATGTGAAGGATGCCATCTGCTTGGATGATGCTTTCACTTTTCACTGCTACCACACTTCTAAAATTGTTCCTTAACTGAAATATCACTGTAACACTTCAGAGAATTCTATCATTGTCAGAGTATCATCAACATAAATTTTCTAATAAATAAATGGAAAATAACATATTTTTGCTTGCTAAAAACGTGAGTATATCCATATTCACAAATATTTTTATTACACAGCAAAAACTACTCACAATTCATAAGTATCCCTTCGAAGACATGAGAACCTGTTCTTTTGTCTACCGTATGTAAAGAACGTTAACACAGTCATATTCTCATAAATCAGCCACAACGCTTCTGGCAGAGTGAGAACGTGGCACAAAAAATATAGGGAATGGGTGAAGGGTAGAGGATCTAATCACTGTAACACTCTTGTCCAAAGCAATATACATAAATATCATCAGCACGTGACATGGATATTAGTTGCGATTCCCAATTTCCCATACTTTCAATATCTGTAATACCATACACACGGCTTTTATTTCAATTTAATTACTTAGTTTCATATAATCATATACTTACACAAACATTACTAGTAGAAATTATGGTGCTTCAAACACAAAAGAGACTTGGTTATAAGTATATTAATAACCAGTGGTGTATTAACAAATAACCTGCTGTAATTACCTTGACAAAGTATACAGTGTTCCCTTTAATTCCACATCTGTATTACTGACGTTAACTGAAATCTCACATACTCAGGTAGCTAAGGACGTACAACGCGAAGACCACGGAATAGTCAACTCCCATTCTTCAGCTGGAAATACAAAATGGAAAACTACCACAGGAAATATTCACGTAGTTAGTAATGTCACAGCAACTCCTACATACCACATGTAACTATAAAGAGATAATATATATTGCAACAAAGATACTTCAAGAACATGAAACAGTACCACAACATCAAAGTCTTTTCCATTACCAGATGTTCAATAGTGTGGGCCTGCATTGTATGGGTTCATGGATGGATTGCCTGTTTGTCGGAAGGCCACAGAACTCTGCTGCTGGAATGGCGGCATGCTGAGGCCAGCTCCTGCATTTCCACTCCCTCGGAGTAAACACGGAGGCTGGCTGCGATGCATATCATAGAAGTTCTCGTCTCTGTCGAGAGTACTTCTAACGCCAGGATTCCCAAATTTAGGAACACATGCAGCAGCACTATGAAACATGGCAGGTCCTGTGCCTGAGGCAGGTGACTGCTCTGCACTGCTAGTTCCCATCCCACCAAAACTGGAACTGCTTCTCGTTGCAAACAAAACAGGAGTGTTTCCATACTCTCTCACACTTCCAGGTTTCGATGTCACTGAATATCCAGGCACATCACAATTCTTCTGGAATGATGACTGCTGCCACTGCGTCTGTGATGAAGGCGACGGTGTCACCTGAGATGAATTCTTCAAAATTCCTTTTGGAGGTCCAGTTCCCTGAGAAGAAACCGATGACACTACACTTTTTTTATCACTATTACCACCAGAATAAAGTGAAAATAAACTTTTATCACGGTTACTTACATAAGCTTGATATGTGGAAGTTTTATAATAGGTTCCATCACCACTGTAACTACTCTTATTAGCTGATGATGCAGATGAACAAGTTGGCTTTGGTGACTGGTATTTGGATTCAGATGAAGCTTCTTTATTTTTGTCCTCCCTCAGAGCAGCTGTGGGTGTCGTATCGGAGCGCCAATGTGAAGTCCTGCTTGCATTAGAATGAGAAGCAGAACTACGTCTATTCACAGCTTCCTTAGCACTACCACTCTTCACATCATCATCTTCCCTTGCTACGTGTACTTTACGAGACTCTTTATTACGAGGAGCCCACTTACACAGAGGCCGAAGTCTACAAATCTGTGCCTGTATCCCCACACTTTCTACACTTACACATGGTATTTGGGTTGAATTCCAATCCGTAATTTTATCGCCAGTTTTCACAATTGGTTCTGTCTGGGTTGAATTCCAAACCATAATTCTATTCTTGTATTCCAAACAAGACAAACAATTCTCTGGTTTTTCTGACACCTTTTTCACATCACCACTAATATCAGTCATTGATGAAGAATCTACATATGATTTCAAGTACTCTGTAAAAACTGGTGCAAATGAAGATGTAACAGCATGAGGATCATGTGGTTCACCACTGATTTGCGAATGCCCTTCTGCAGATGTAGCTAAGTCCATTTTTGGAAGACAATAGGACTGCTCTGATGTGTTATCACAGACAGTAGAACTTGTAAAACTGAGATGCAAATCTGGTGTTCGCAGGATGGGTGACCGGAACGTATTGATACCTTGTAAAAAAGTCTGGCTAACTGATGCAGTCGATGTATACGGCCCTGGTGATTCTTGTAGAACAAGATGACCAGAAGGGAACAAAGTCACACCACCATCAGCTTGAAGCGTGTTAATAGCTTCTTCACAACGAACCACCAGCAATGGATCAACTGACATCTGCTTCTTTTTAGTTGAGCCACCAGCTGGAATTGTGCATGCAGTTGTGGAACATGATACAGTGCAACAGTTGGTTCTGAGAGGTAAAGGTTAAGGTAAGTGCCATGTCACAAAGGAGTATGGGAGTGTGTATATAAACCTCCACATAATCTTAAACTCAACACTAGAAGGAGGTGAATGGTCACAATATGAGAAATAAGAGAAAGGCATAAACACCCTTTCCAGGATATGAACCATGGACATTCACTACTAGCATAGCTATCCTACCTCCTCTGTGATGAGTTTAAAATTAAAACAAATACATATTTTCCTTAAATGTAACAAAACAGTATTTCTGAAACTACTGATGATTTCAAAATACATTTCAGGTACCTTATGTATGTTGACACTGTATCCAAATGTCACACAATTCTGCTCCTACTATGCGGGGAAGAAGGAGGAAGAACTCAAAGCTACACAGAAGTATTCGTCTTACATATCTTACACCTAACGGACATCTGTAACAACTTCCGATGCCAATGTTTGAATTTACAGATGTTACACAACAAATAAGGGCAGTTTTAATTCTTCCCCTTACTGTGGTGACTATGCCAGCGCAAAGTGCTTAAATATAATACCACATACACTCTATGTGAACAAGTGTACAAGCTGTAGCAGACAATGTGTTCAGTTTTAGACAGGAACGATTCACGGAGTCTTATCGCTACTAAAATCCTAGTAATTCTCTATATGTTTCCAAACATTTCTAATTTTTAAAAGTTTTCATAAATTGGGACACCTGCAAAACACCTCAGCTTTTACCTCTTCAGCACATCGGAAGTGTCTTGCTTCAAGTGCCTCCTCAGCAAAACTGATCCAGGCGTTGTATTATATGGAAACAGACATGGTCATGAATTATAACCACCTTCCAGCCATGGTAGGTCATCCACGTGGCTTCATTAATGAGCGGCAGTGCTGTGAATTTGTGGTTTGCAAACACTGTTGCATTGTGGTCCAGGAACTCAGGGAGGGAAATACTACTCTTTCAAGAATGTAGCTGAACAACTTCTCTGCATACTGCATGATTCTGAACTTCTTTCTCACTAGAGACGTGGAGTTCTTCCACTCCATCAATAATACATTCAGTGTCGAGATGAAGTCACATACCCGCATTATATCACCAGTGACAATGCAACTAAATAAGTCTGTGACCTTTCAAAGTGTTCCGAGTATTATGACTAACTGTTTTATTCAATGTTTAACCTGTACACACTTTTATCTTATTATGTGTGCTTCCTCACTATTTAATACTTCTAAGGACATTCTTCATATCTCATAAATATGCACACAGATAAACTGAAGTTATGATGTTGACAGGTCTACTTGGCAACAAAAAATTAGAGACACATCACATTTTGATAACAGCATCTGAGCACATCTCAGCAGTAATTAGCTGAATAACTGCACATTTTATTCACTCGCAGCCGGTTCCATTAGGTTTTTCACTCAAATATGTCAAAGGCTGACCCAGACATTCAAAAAAGAAATTAGACTGAAAACATCCAATCCAACTGTAGTAACAATACTACTGATAAACATGTAAGTCAACAGTTGGCCTAGTATATTACCATGTATAAACAAAATCTGAAAGACACCCCCCCCCCAAAAAAAAAAATTAATATGGCAAAAGTTGTTTACCCTAGAAAGTATTCAATCCATTTTGTAGAACTTATGTGCAAAAAATTTCAATTTGATGATTCAAATCTGGATCATACATCGTGGATACTAAATTCAGAAAAACATGAAATACATCCTGATGGTTGCACAGCTAGTAGACCTGATCTGGGATACATATAAAATAATAATATATACCCAGATGAGGTACAATGACTGCAGTCTGATATTCCAATACCAGACTGGGTCCATAAACTTTAAAATTCACAAAAAATAAACTAAATCTGGCATTGTCAAGTCAGAATAAATTCACATCAAAGGGTTAAATTTATGAGTTATGACAAATGTAGAACATTAAATGCTCCAGACAGATGACACTACGATTTCATCGGTCTTACGACCATAAACAAACCTTGAAGACGGCCGTCTTTTGTCCCGTCTTCAGAGGTGCTTAATGCCGCCATCAACAGCACCCTGATGATGGAGGCAGAATACACCTCCAAAGTATCAGCAAACTTCTACCAGACTACACAGTGCAACATTCCAAAAGACAGCCATCTTCATGCTCATCTGTAATAACCTGAAATCTCACCAAATACAAACTTTAAATCCTAGAAGCAACCCCCAGCTTAAGCACAACACGTAACAAAAATGATATAGGGCATTTCTGTGGAACAGTAGCACTACTCAGCTGATTAATCTACTATCAACACAAAGTTCTTCCTCGGTGGTCAAGAAGTATGCTCTAAGACTTGACAAGAAACTCGGATATCTTTGGCACCGAGTGTGTTGGGCCAAGCAAACGCAAAGGCAGCAACACCACTCTTTGAAACACAGTGTAGTAAGAACTTCATTATGTTATATACACCACTACTTTCATTTAAACAGTGCGTCTGACATAACAGGGTTTTTTAATTCTTCTCTTTACTTTATCTGCTTTTCATCAGCTTATGTCCTGTTTTGTGAAAAAAATTGTGTTTCACTTTAGTAGGACAATCATTTCATGAAAAACACTACAGTCAATTAAAGTATTTACTAAAAAATTAAGTACAGAAGCAAGAAAAAATTATTATTCAACTAGGACTCAACGCTGACATACGCTACTTGGTAAATCCATCACATTTGAACATAATGAACACAAAGTTCAAATTCACGCGCACTGAAAAACAACTGTGACACAAATTGTGATAGGAAAGGATAAAGCAAACATATTTAACAAAGACTTGTTCATAAAAAACTACTTAATGCATTTTGGGGCAATTAAAGAGATTCATCAAATCTGAGTCAAATTCAATAAACATCATGAATAACACTAAATACTGCATTTTAAATTTACAGCCCAAGCCAACCCTTCTTACATCCATCATCAGGGCCTGATGATGGAGGCAGCAAGGACCTCTGAAACGTCGGTAAACTTCTACCAGACTACACGGCACAACAACCCAGAATGACAGCTGCTACTGACGAGCTCATCACAGGTTCTCATGCAACTGCTGAATTCTTTGCACGTCAGCATTCTTGGTATGATGTGTCAGTGGATGAGATACATCTCCAGATCATTTACTGATGACAATGCAGAAACTAGCGACTGAAATTCCAAAATTCTTGAAAATCATTCTAATATATGACCATGATGACTGCTCATCTTCCACACCACTGGAAAATGTTGATGTTAGTCTGTTGCTCGCTTCTCCGCTCGAGAAACTTTCATGCACCGTGCTCTCCTTTGGACCACATCACATCTACCAGCCTAACACTGAGTTCCAATATGTGCACACCTTAAAGTGCAAAAGCAGGATCGAGTCCACCTGCTACAGTGTCACTGTATTTGCTTTTGTCTCATACTTTTTCAAGCTAACACAAATATAAAGTACAATTCTGTGATTTAACCTTTCCTTACCTTTAGCAGAAGCTTCTAGAAGACTTGAAAGGCTAACTTTCTTTCCATCACCAGACTGTAAGGAAGAAAAAACTATTGATAATAGCTGTTGAAACACATCAAATATAAAAAAATATTCAAATCAGCAGCAACATCAACTGACAATGAAAGGTAATGACATAAGACTATTGATACGTCAACAAGAAATGTGAATACTTGATGCCTGTTCACTCATCACTTTACATTCACTTCGTAAGTGCTTTTCAAACAACGTTTTGAACGCATGCAACCATCTTCAAGTTTGACGTGTGCGCGTAGTTACTGCACTCGTATTTTTAAAAACCAATAATTCTAATCATTCTTCTGCTATTACTGCACAGGAAATCAAAAATGACAAGGCCGGAGTGACCTCGAATGGCGGAACAGTCAATCAATTTTTTTAAATCAATGAACTTGATTACCTGTGATATTTTTGGTGGCGGAGGCACTACCGTAGGGTGTTGAGGCTCCTCACTGCTGAATAATGATTGGTGGAACACATCTTTTGATGAAGAAAACTCACTACTGAAGGTGAATGGTACTGGTTGACCAGTGAATCCCATGGGAACAGGAGAAGCGGTAATGGGAGGGGGCACAAAATATACCGGAGGGGCTACTGGTGTTGGGGGCATAACTGGGGGGACAGAAGGTTGTTCAAGATGATGTGGAGGGGCAGACCCAAAAGAGGGAGGGACAATGTTGTTATCTGGCGGAGGAGGCTGAATTACAGCAGGTGAGAAACCAGGTCCAGGTCCAGGTCCAGGTGGGTAGCTATGACTGTACGCAGTAGGATCAACAGGATGAAAGGCAGCAGCGGAACTGTAAGTCGATGGATGACTGCTGGGATTGTAACACTGCAGCAGGGGCAGAGAAATTGCAAGTATTAATAAATTTAACAACAGTGGCCAACTCAGTACACTTTCTTTTAAATATGTCACTGACCCTGACACTAAATCACAGCAGTTAAAAACTATTTTTGTCATTCTTCTTCTTCTTCTTCTTAAAGTGCCTATCCGTTCCGGATGTTGGCGATCAGCATAGCAATTTGAGCTTTACTAGCTGCTACTTGAAATAGCCCTCCAGTGGACAATGAGAACCAAGTTTTTAAGTTCTGAAGCCATGAGATTCTTGGCCTGCCAGGTCCCCTCTTTCCGAATACTTTTCCCTGGATTATCAGCTGAAGCAGCCCGAATAAAGAATAAAAAGGGCGTCAAATCAAAATTTTAGAATATAATGAGGTGTATATTCATTGTGAGGTACTCATTTGTTACACGCTAAGCAAGCTATTTTTAGTGTATTTAAATTTGGACTTTATACAAAGCAAAGTTTGTTGCTAAATAATACACACCAAATTTAAATTTTCTCAGCAACACTGTGTAAAGATCCCCCACAGAAAAATTCACAGAAATATTATCAAGTAATTTCAACGGGCAGACATAACCTCCCCATTACATGTTAATTTTATGAGCTTTGTAGAGATAAAACAAAATTAAAAATAATGTACCATGTGTGACATAGCTACTAAAGATTAAGGTCAAGTTGACCACGGTGCTGAACAAAGCACGTCACACAGCGGTACAGGGAAGAAGTATAGCTCCATGCATTCACAGCATTGGCATTAGGAAGTCGTGGGTTCTTATCTTCATGCCCCAACCCTTTTTTTCCCAAGGAAAGAATTCCCATACCCATCAGAAGACAGAAGGCAGCCCACCTAACCTCCTGATTAATACGCAGCCAGTACACAGGCACTTTCCCCTCAAATATTGCTGCTGGAACAAAAGGTTCACTGACGTGCCAAGATCTAGAACGTGTGGAGTTTTACTCCATGCCCCCTACAGACCTTCAGAGTGTGAGGATTATACACAAGATAAATACCATCTCTTATCACTGCATACAGTATTACGTGAATAGTACAAATATAATGAGAAACTAATATTATAAGACACAAAATTCAACTTGTACTGTACCTCAGGCAGTGCTGTTCCGGCTGATGAAGGGAAAGCGTAGGCTGTCGACTGATCATAAACGTTTCTGCACAAATCTGTTGCAAATTTACGTTCCATTTCCTTCCAAAATGGTGAACGCTTCCTTCTCCGTTGTCTTTTCTCATCAGACAACGAAGATAGGGACACAAAACTGCCTGAACGCGAAAATGTCGATCCACTACTAACAGGCGAAAATGAAGAACCAGGATAGCTTCTTCGATACTCACGACTTCTTCGTTCTCTGCTAAGCGAACGAGACGAAGACCGCCATCGTTCTCTATCCGATGATATAAGAGACAAATCAAATGAAAGACTGTGGGATGAGGACATTTGCCCCACAGAGACAGGAGAGAGATTCGGTGCTCTCTGCTTAAATTTATCACAACTTGGGGACAGCCTGCTCTTTGACAATGATCTCCTCCTCCTTTCCCTGGCCCGACTCCCTGATCTTCTGTATCTTCCTTGCCTGTCTCGATATTTACTGGACGCAGTCCTAAGCTGTCTGTCTCGACTATGGGATCTTGACATTCTCGCTGGTAGAGAAGATTTATGCTGTCTATCTCTACTCACAGATCTTACCAACCTTCTGCTGTAATTCTGAACATCCTTCTTTCCCCTTAAAGTTCTTGCAGCAACATCAGATTGACATCTATCTTCACTTGATGCCCTTCTGTGCTGCTTTTCACCACTTCTTTCTTGTTCTAGAGACAATTTAAGTTGCTTATCTCTGATCCCAGAATGCGATCGCCTGATAACATTCTCAATCTTCCTGTACTGTCTGTCCCGGCTTCTAGACCTTCCCATTCTTTCTTGTCTTACAGATAATTCATGTTTCTTGTCTCTGCTACCAGATCGTGATCGCCTAGGGTCATTCTGATCATCTCCTCTTCTCTTTAATCTGTGTAGATCACTATGGCATTGCCACTTTTCTCTACTTTGAGATCTTAAGCTATATTCTCTCTTATTTTTGATTTGCTCATTGAACACTTCATTCTTCATTCTTGACTCTTTACACACTCTCTCTAAACTTGAAGAATTAATTTTCTTTTCTCCACATGAACTCTTTTGATGTCTCCCTTTCCTTTCTTCATATAAATAATCATGTTTTCTCTTGCTCTCTGAAGATGCATGCCTCCTCCCTTCTGACCTGTTTGACTCAGATCTCCTCCTTTTCCTTTCATGCGGATAATTAATTCTTTCCGTTCTCTTATGTACGTCCAGTCTGGCAGTGCATGAAGAAACTTTCTCACTTTCAACATTATCCAATATTTTATGTTCATCGATCTTTCTACTTATCACATAAATTTCTTTGTTTGCACTTTCTGTTCCCACGATAAGATGCTTGGACGATTTTTCAGACCTAAGCATAGTGTGACTCATTGCATCTTTATTACCTTCTGCTTCAAACTCATTTACGTCTGCAGCTTCATCTCTTGCGTAAAGGATAAAACTGTCCTCTGTACCAGGAGGAACAAGGTCATCCAGTTCTTTTATACATGTGTCAAGCTTCGTACTATTTAATGGTGGATTATTAAGGTTTGTAATTGCATGGCTCTGACTGCCTGCCACTTCACTAATTACTCTGTTTTCAGCTCCATGCCTAACCATACCTGGAATTCCTTGGGACATTTCTTTCTCTAAATTATGTTCCTTATGAATGGATTCTATCTGAGTTTCTCTGTTAGCCACATCAGTGTCAGAATTTTTCCCCTTCCTAATGCTTTCACTTGAGACATCTCCTTCAACACCTACATCACTCACGCCAAGCCGCAAACCACACTTCTTTCTTTTAGCGCTAACATCTGCAGTACTGACCTTGTTACTTACTCTGTACTGGTAAGAGTACCTGCGCGACACTCGGTCTATATTCCTACTTCTGTCTTCTTTTTGTACAAGTCTTTCTGTACTTTTAACTCTTTCATTTGTGCTAATATTTGTTTCCATATTCTTTTCCTTGTCTCCTCTACCTCTGGTATGTATATTTCTTTCTGAACTGTTTTCCCTACTGCCTCTCTCTCTTCTGTATATGTTTCTTTGTTTACTATTCCTATCAACTTTTTCCCTGTCTTCCTTTCTTTCTCTGCTTCTTTCCCTCATTCTTTTACATCCTTTCTGCCTAACATTTTCTATACTGTGCAAGCGGTCACCACTGCCACCTTTATCTCTTCTGCATACCTTTCTTTCAGTGCTTCTATCCCTGCTGCTCTTAATCTTGGTCTCCACAGAAGTTCTGACATGTCTTTTACTACTACTTTGGCTGGTATGTTCACCCTTCCTCCTGTGACCATCACTATCTCTTCTGCTCCTACCCTCTGTACTCTTGTCAGCAGAGACTTCTGTATATTTTATTTTTGTATCTTCTAACGCAGTCTGTCTTTTATTATCATCTGTCTCCCTTCCATCTTTATGCAGCTTCTTGCCACCGGCATCACTTCCACAGCTGTCGTCAGCATCCGGATTCCACATATCAACAACGGCTAAGCTATCCAAAAAATCATCTTTTAAAAGATCATCAAAGAAACCATCAGGTGGCTCATCAATGAACTCTAGCATGAGTTTATCTGATGTTTCCGGAGCCATATTACCTTGTGTGTCCATACCTTCTACCACCACATTACTATCTGCAGCAGTATTAATATCTGTATTACCATCTGAAGTTTGTCTTACACTGTCTTCATTATACTTCCTTCCTATTTCCTCTCCATTTTGGTTATTCCTGCCAGTTCCTTTTTCTTTCCCATGATCTTCATCTTCTTCTCCTGTATTCTCAGTGGCATGGAGCAATTCTTGTTCACCAGCCTCATTTGCCATTCCCTGAAAGAAAACATGAGCAGCACAATTTTTTTTTCAAAACAGTATTTTACAAATGCATTAAAACTAGCTTTCTTGATTTTTGATAAATGTACCAAAACGTTTATACACCATAAATAATACACAAGGCTTATCATTCATCTTTACACAAATAGTCATCAATATAACAGTTCCCCATTCAAATTAGTTTATTTTCTTCAACCATGAACTAGTCATAGTTCAGTGACTAATAAAAATCATTGAATGGTAATATAATTTTCCAGGTTCTCAAAATTCGATAATTTCGCGTCTCTTTTAGTTTAAAAAATTTGCCTGTTTCCTCTATTGCTCTTGCTGAAGGACTGGGAAGATGTAGCAGGTTAGTAATAACCATGTAATCCTTATGGGGAGAAGAATAAAGACAGCATAAACATACCTAAGGAGAAATCTTAAAAAGTACTTAAAGTCCTCCTTAACGTTATGAAAGTAATCCTTACTCTAACTTAACTTGTAGACTTCCGTCGTAAATACTACAGGACAGTCGAAAACCAATCCCGACTTCAGACACCGTTCCAAATGTCAAATCTGCAAACTGTCAGAGGCCAGTTAAAACCTTATTGACTGTGTAACACACACACCAAATATTGTCAATACTAATTATAACACTTTAACTTAAATAAACTACACTATCCACTCAACACAAAATGCATCCCGCACTTACATCACAGATAATATATACATACACATATTTATTAAAACTCACTCACAAAAATAATCCTCAGTATTTATAAGGGTATAATCTGTGATTTTTTCTCTCGCCATGGTTCACATCATAAATTAATACCAACACTCTCTGATAAACTCAGACAAAGCAATTCCCAGCATTAAACTGAGCACTGAAAACTGTATCATCGGCCACCCGCTCATGATAGATAACAGAATATAGACACAGAACTACCTTCATGAACTAGTAAATTCCAGCCAAGTATATAATTGTGAATTTTAACAACGAGGCCTCAGACTTGCTTTAGGAACAACCATTTTGTAGCTACTGTCCCTGAATCTGCGATACACTAACGGCCAAAATCTTACACCACAGATTCACAATAAAATTCAGTGTTCTAGGATATGATTAGCCTGTACCGTCTCGTGTAACTTCGAAACCCGTTTAAATCGCATACACTTCGGTCGAGAAAATAATCTTTCCCATTTTCTTAACTCGTTACTATTTAAAAGAGAAACATTACTGAATTATCACTGCAAATATTAGTTAAAATAGACACTATTGTATGATTATGTCCCGTTTTAACACTTTTTAAATAAATTTAACTCGAGAGTGGTTAATTGATAAGTGAGCATAGCTTCTTACACGTTGCACGTTGGTATTACCGATACTCACTACCAACATCAAGATTGGTAACGCAATGTTGGCAAGCTGATAATGTGTATGGCAAGTCGTCATGCATGGTAACATCCAATACCAAAAATTCCAGTCCACAATAATGCTTATCCAACTTACATTACCATTCCCCACACCCAATAATCTACAAACCTGAAGATAGGATAGTGCACTGTGCAATCTGGTAGAACTTGAAGGGCTGAAGGCAGTCTGTGCCTCCAAAATATTGGTACATACCTACAAGTCTGCACAGCATAAATATCAAAAGAACATCACCAAATTAAATTTGCTTTGGCACATATCCAATGAATATAATAATACTGCTTCATAGTCTACATTCAAAACACACACAAAATAATGCCTTTTAAGAGATGGAAGCAGCAAGTACCTCTGAAACATCATGAAATTCCACCAGGCTACCTAGCACAACCACCTTCATCTATTTCTTACCATTCTTTGAAACACAGGGTTGACACACTTTGTCCACAGAGAAATAAGAAGACTGCTTCTGAAACTTGCAAATCAAAAGCTGCATAGCCAGATACAGATTTCATCTGCTTTAAAGATTTCTAAAACATTGAAATGAAATAATTTTATTTCCTTCTTGTCAGTTTCACAACTAAGTACATAACACACATTACATATTTCTACGTGCAAAGAGACTTAATACCCTAACCTGCAAGACATGTGAAAGAAATAGGCATCACTAATCAAAATCAACTTTAAATTCAATGCAAATCAAAAATGTACGTTACAACACAACTTCTTAATACTCCTCTACAACAATAAAATCATGTTGAAGCGACCCATATACAATAAAACACCATGTAAACAAAAAAATATATTAACTGCCTGTGACCCAAAGTCAAAGACACATTAGTTAATATGATCTGAGAAGCACAGAATTTCTAAATTTTAAAAGCTTAACACTCCTACCATACTTATTATCATTTGCCTCAGTTAACCGTCTATACAGACCAAACTTTTCTGCAACTTAAAACCAAACTTACTCAGAACTTATCCAATATAATCTGATATATGTTTCACCCTATGTAATACATGTTCCTTTCTTCACCACACATACCATCGGGGACAAAACTCTCAACTTCTAGGAGGAGCTCTTAAGTTGACCTGTAATTTTCATATTACAAGGAATTTGTTAAGAAACTGACCAGGGATGCGAAGCAAAGGACAATTATTTCCTACAATCCTCAATCTCCCCTTTCAGAGACCAGGTTTTTTCAGGAACGGCCTCATAACTCACCAGACTTTGATGAACGCCCATCAGGTAAAATATTTGAAGTTTATTTATAAGTGCTGTTAAATGCTTAAATCTGTGCTCAAGATTTCGAAAGCCATAATAAATTCAACATAAAGCAAAAAAATTTGTTTGAAGTGTAGTCATATCATTTTGGTGACCACTTTATGCCTCGTCCATCAGAATTTTGTCAGAGCAGAGCTGTTTCAAAAGACACAAACTAATACCCAACTGTGTGTGTTTTGGGTCAAAGTTAAATGTGAAAAACTATGTGAGATGTACTATACCAAACCTTTGGAGTTTGACCAGGCTCAAATAAGATGACCCTGATATGGACAGAGGATAGGCACATGCAGACTCCAACCTTGAAAGCAACCATTAACAAGTAAAAATGTATCTAATACACTTTAATTCTGGGAAAACGAGGTATGCTTAACATACCTATACCACTTTCTCATCTACCTGCTGTTCATTTTGCTGGTACATCATACACTTTCCAATCCAAGCAGGCAGACGCTCCTGTAAGAATGCAGACAATACCTTGAAATTTTTTTTATGAGATTTTATATCAGACAGTTCAATAAGTACCCGAGTTGGTTCTTGTTTTGGTTTAAAAACACAACAAAATGAAACAAGCGAATCACGCTTGGAGGCTTGCCGTTTCAATCTTTCATATAAATATTCAGATACCATTCTCTCTCTTGCGATTTTTCCCAGCTTTTCAGGAAATCTCAGTTTCTTATAAACACTTCTACGCCCCACCCATAATTCATAGTAGCCACAACAACGAATGACCTTCACCCCAACATTATTGGACGCCTCAGAGATATTTGACTGTCCATCCAGCTTCTGAATCTTGCTATTACTATGTTCAGATTCTTCTATGTGAACATCAAATTTCATGACATCTTTAAATATTTGTATGAGGATCTCCAAAACTGACTTAAACCATCTCTTTCTCAATTCATTCCCTGCATTCAAAGTGCTCTCATGCTGCCTTGAATCCACATTCTCTGGTACCTTGTGAACGACATAGTTGTCTAATTTAATAGTTATGTGACACAAAAATTCTGAAGGAATAGTTCTTTGACGAAGTAGTTTTTTCAGGAAACCTGGTGTCTTTGCATCCACAGAGGAGAGTTTATCATATGCCAAAGCGGCAGATCCACAGCGTTTCTTGAAGTTCTCTAGTGCTTTTGGAGACATTCCTGCAGCAATATTATGTCTCAACTCAAATGGGTCCTGAATACAGATAACAGAGTCCACTTTTAGTCCCACAGTATCTGAATCAGAGTTGGACATATAATCCTTATACCGATGCATGGCTTCCGGTAATGCTTGAGGTGTCTGAAACGATGATTTTGGTATAGAAGTACCTGTTAATGGGCACATTACATTCAACCCATAACCAAATTTGGAACAAAATTTGAAGAACCCACAAAGCAATTCTGGTACAGACATTGTGTTATTGTTTGGTGCTGAAATGTTGGTGTTAATACTGCATTCCCAACCATCAATTATCAGTTTCTCATTCACACCTTCTTGTAAGGCAGCAATGGTCGGGATAACCGGATGTTCCAACTGCTGTAGATAGAACAATGCAATCATTGCCAATGCATAGCTGCTAATCTTGCCATTTCCTGAGAGGTCATTCCTCCCAGCCCAGTATTTTATTACAATCAGGAATGGTTTTATCCGTGGGTCCACGGACAAATAAAACCGTATAAGAGCACTGTTACTGACACCGAGTGCATTCTTAAATGATAAGTCACAGCTAATCTTTGTAGGTTTGTGAAAAAATTTCACAATTGGAGTTTTAGCTTTTGGAATTGCAAAGATATTACTGTATAAATCTGAATTCCATTGCAAAAACTTCTTCATTCGGTTTACTCCTATGATTTGTGATTCTGGAATTGATGCACCCGCACTCGCTCCTACAAACACAGCCGGTGCCACATCTACAAAGGAAAAGAAAATGTCACCATATATAACTTGAGACTCACCCCTGCTAAAATGAAATTCCATTATTTATCTACAAGGAATGGATGTGGCTCCAAATTTAATGACAGTGGTTTAATATTGTCAGATTCAGAATTCTTTATGCACATTAGCACGTGTGCCATTTTTAATGTATGCTCTTGAATGAAATTTTAATTATTCAGTCCCTGATAAAAATTCATACAACTCTGCAACTCAAACACTTTTCTGCTCTTACAGGAATGTGCAAAGTAACATTCCTTTATAAGAATATGTATTTTAATCACTGACAATTACCATGGTGCAATCTGAGGTTCCAAAAGATCAGAATATGCGCAGTTAATATAGTACGCTCTAACTACTGTGCTTTTGTGGTAAAAGAAAGCCTATGATCGAAATGCTGCTTTTCTTATTAAACTATACTTGAGAATAAGTACTTAGAACATTTATTACACTACACATTGTAATGCAGTTATCAAAAGATCAATAGTCTATTCTTAAAGCCAGGCAAACCAAAAATATTCAATTCTGTTCTTAAAGCACTTTCAAGTAACAAGTGAACTTACTTAGGTCCATGAAGACATCCAAGTCGCTGCCTTTAAAAGCAAGGCCAGTCACAGCGGAACCAAAAGGATGAGCCTTGCAGCCAGGGAAAGAAACGGATAAGGTGGCTTCCAAGTGCTCACAAACCAGTGCATATTTGCTGTAGTCTGATACATGAATTTCATTTAGTAACACTGAAAACTGGCTCTGGAAATCGCCTTTGCATGATGACAAGGCTTCAGTAACACGGGTATGGTTCAAGCCTTCACTTGCTACAACTTCAGGGGGAGGTGGACCTGTTGGGAAAATATATATTCAGAAAACAACACCAAAATGTTATAACCTCAGACTCTAAATATATATACTGCTCAATTATTGCATTGCAAAACAGTATAATTAAGTACTCTGGTTCTTTTCACTATCAGAATAGTAAACTAAAGAGTTCAATCATAGTTGCACGCTGTAAGGTTCAAATGAAGGGCAAATTTTAATCAGCAGGTGTGCCTTTTGATTGAAATATAAAGATAATACCATGAAC